GAGAGCAGCAGCAGCCCCGAGTCGTCTTCCGGCCACACTGAGGACAAGGCCGGCGGCTCCAGTACGTATAAAGGCAGCGCCCTGCGCTCTGTGAAAGGGGAGTTGGAAATCTTGCGCAGCACCGCTGTTAAATTTTTATATGCTGTTTTATAAGCATATAAGGTTTATGAAGGGCCTTTAGGTTTCCCCCAACAAAACTTTGTTATAGAAGGCGGGATCACGTGGCGAGTGCTGAAATTGGCCGTGAAATACCCACCGACCAAGGCATGCCTGCAAAAAAAAACAACTCCCCTTTTCCCTTTTTTCCCTTCTCGGCTCCCAAGCCCGGCAGCTCGACCCCGCTCGGGGCCAGCTCCGGGCCGGGGAGCCGGAGGTGGGCGCCTGTAAATTCTCCCTGCAAGGGCTCCGGGAGCCTTTGATAGCGAGGTAATCCGGAGATTTTTATAAAAGCCATGTGTTGCGCCGGGACGCCAGTCCCGGTCGGGATTCAAAGGCGTCGCTGTTTAACGATGGCGCTAGGAGCGCGTTTAACAGATAAAGTAGCCCGCTTAGCTCCAGCAATATATTAAAAGAAACAAATTAACCCAAAGTTGGCCTTTTTGTCTGAAGGAAGCCATTTTCCTCTGGCGTGGTGGCAATTATATGCCGTCTCCTGTCCAACTGCATGCTACTCACAATTGTTATTCAATCTGTCAAAAGCGACTTTTTTTTTTTTTTTTGTCTTGTGGGGTTTTTTTTTAAGGGGAGCAAGCAGAGCCTGCCCGCAGCTTTGAGAAGCCCCTTTTCCCTCCACCCTACCTAAGGTAGCACCCCTGCCTGGCCGAGGAAATAAGGAGTCTGTATGGTAGCGGTGCTCGGCCAAGGCCCAGGGTAGGGGGCTTCCGCTGCCACCTCTTCTTCTCGGGGGATCTGGGGAGGCCAGCCGGGGAGATAGAAGCTGGTGGCCTAGAACTCGGGCTGACGAAGACCCAGCAACCGCCCCAGATGTTAAGGACGGCCGATGCCTGGCCGCAACCAGGAAAGACTGGGGCTGGGGCCGCCTTTACTGCCTCGGGAACGGGCAGCCCAGGTGCTGGAAGGTGAAATGTCCGCAGGCGGCTGTTTGTTTAGTCTGGCGGGGCGCGAGGCAGTCGGCAACCCCCACTCGGCTGTTTTCAAAGAGCCTTAGGCAGCGCAAACTCGCCTGTTGCAGTGAGAAGCCCTGGTTTCTGCTCTAGGGGCAATGGGAACAACTTCCCCGGGGGCCTATCTAGGGAGCTGGCTTTTATCTGGGGCCGAGCCTCCTACTACAGCCGGTTCCAAGCCCTCAGTAGGAGCCTGAGGGCAGGGGCCTGGGGAAATGCTGAGGGGGCTTGGGCCAGCCCTTCTCCTCAGCTAGTGCGTCTGGGATGGATTGCAGCCCCCATGCCTGGCTCAGCCCCTGTCTTTCTCCCTCCACAGGTGGCCAACGCACCCGCAAAAAGCGCTGCCCCTACACCAAGTACCAGATCCGAGAGCTGGAGCGGGAGTTCTTCTTCAGCGTCTACATTAACAAAGAGAAGCGCCTGCAACTGTCCCGCATGCTCAACCTCACCGACCGTCAGGTCAAAATCTGGTTTCAGAACAGAAGAATGAAGGAAAAAAAAATTAACAGAGACCGTTTACAGTACTACTCAGCTAATCCACTCCTCTAAGGCTCCAGCCGGCTGGAATTGGGTGGGGGGCTTCATACCCATGAGACAGTATGCAGATTTTGCCCTTGACAAGGTCAAGCCACATGGTGACTTTTGAAAAAAGGAAGTGTGCGAGAGAGAGGAGGCTACATGGAGGTAGCCCCACTGGAGGCAGCCTAGGACTCACTTGGTTAAGATCTCAGTGGCTAACATTCCTAGTAATAATTGAATTCTGAGAGTTTGCATCAACTAGAATGAAAGGTTTGGGTCCCCTGGTGGTTCACTCTTGGAGCCTGCAGAGCTTGGGGCTGGGTGTGGTCTCCACCCGAGACTGGGCCCCCTGCCAGGCCCCCTGGAAGCTGACCCCCCCCACTCTCCACTGGGAGTCTGCCCACCCCCAGGACCCCTGAGTCAAGAAGCTGTGCGCTCTCCAAGCCCAGTTCAGCTTGGGGACAGGAGCAGGAGAAAGAGGGAGGATGACAAGATGCCCGAATGAGGCTACCTTCCAAAGCCAATGTGAAAGGCAGCTGGACTGAGAGGTGGCCATGAGATAGGAAAGGGCTGCAAATCCTTGTGGGAAAAGAAATCTACTATTCCAGGTGGCGTTAGTGTCTTTCCCCTCCTCCTATCCACCCACCACACTGTCCCAGGCCTGAGTTCCTAGCTGCCACCTCCTGCAGTCCACCTGGCTTTCTACCAAATGGGGGTCTTCATCCCAGCCTGCCATTTAGGCCCAAAGCCTGGTTGCACAGTGGACTGTTCCCTGAGGTGGAAGACATCAAAAAGCCGAGGCTGCGCCTAGGCCGCTGGCCCCCGAGATCTCTGCAGGAAATGCCTGTGGAGTGCGGCAGTTTGGGAAAGTCTCCACCACATTTAATGAAGCTTGGATTTGCTCAGTGTCCGGCAGTGGAGCAGCAGGCTCGGCCAGCGGGTCCCTAGTTATAGCTATAAGGGGCTTGAGTCCCCCAGAACACCCTGGTTCTGGCACCACACGCTGCCCTTATTGACTCCAGAACTGAGCTTGGAAGCTTCCGGCGACCTTCCAAGAGCCTGAGAGTGATGTGGAATTATTTTAAAAGATAAATATTATATTATATATATATTTCCCTGAAGGAACCAAAGCGAATTTTAAAAGATGCAATGTAAGGGGGGAAAAGATGATGAAAATATTTAAAGGCTCTATCTGTTTACAGTGTTCCACGGTTAAACTCGCTCACTGCTATGAATATTTGAATGTACGCTTCATACAGGGATGGTGTTCAAAAGACTTGTAAATAAAGGAACCATAATCAATTTTGTTTTACTTTTTTTCCCCCCATTAGTTGAATTCCTTTAGGGTGCTGGAGGGGGCGGAAAGGGTGTTAAGAATGGTCTTTTTAATCTCTTGCAACATTTGGAAAGCGTTAGGGAAATGCTCTGAGGCAGGTCGGCCTTCCAGGGCCTGGGGACCTCGTCTGGGAAAGCCAGGCACCCTCCCACTGAATCTCCTTTGCCTCCCCATGTTAAGAAATGTCTGATGGCTCCATTTGTACTGGGAGTGTTGGCCTGTCCGCGGTTCTTACCCACCGTGTTTGTCGCAGCATGTATACAGGCAGTAGGACACAAGGAAAATAAAGACAGTGGAAACTTGAGTATCTATCGGGTCTTGGTGTGACATTCCTCTCCCTGCTCTCCTTTTACTGCCAAATGTCTGCCCCCCACCCCCTTCCTAGTAAGGGGGCAAGTTATTGGGCCCCTGAGGGGGCGAGGAGGTGACTGAATCAGGAATTAGTTTCAATAGAAACCAGGCTTAGGAAGCCAAGGTGTCCTTGTGGGATGTGGGGACCCAGGGACGGAAGATCTCAGAGCTAGCGTTTGGGACATCAGCCCCCTTATGCTGACCTCAGCCCTCAAGAAGGCCTTGGGGCCTGCAGTGGCCAATGGGTCTGACCCCAGGCTGCCCTCGCTCATGGCAGGACTGGGAGGGCTTGAAGTGGAACCACTCACGGGTGCTCTGTGGGTCCTTTCAGCGAGGTGGAGACCTGTCTGGGTTCTAAGGCAGAGCTGACTCTGAGGAGCCTGGAAGGGTGCTTTCTTCCCAACTCCCAGCTGAGGCCGCCTTTCCCTTTGGGGAAAAAAAGGATGCCGGTTTCCTCTTTGTTTGCTGCCTTTGAACTTCTGCCTTAAATTTGGACATCACCCATAACCTTGAGGGGAAGGGCTGAAAGGACAGAGCCTTTTGTTACCCACCCCACCCTCTCTCCAGCCACCCAGGCAGGGCCGGTGGAGCACAGAGGGTCGCATTTGGAGAGAGGCCCCAGACCCCACACCCCACTCTGTTTATTTGTTTGTGTTTGTCTAACTGGCGCGACTGGAGAAATCGAGCTGAAAGAGGAGTGGGACAGACCCGAGACGAATGTCTAGGTTGATAGACACACAGAGAGGAACAGGGGTCCTCCTGGGGGGCAGGCAGGGGGCGGGCTGGGAAGCCTGGGTTTAGGGAAAGACTTCCTTTGGGATGGTTAAAGATTAACCAAAGTCTCTCAAGTTGCTAGAGAGAGTCTAGCCAGGAGGACTGCTCGCGGGCGGGCGGCGGGCGGGCGCGGGTTTGATTTCTGAGCCCTATAAAAGCCCATCCTCCGATGGCTGTGACAATGTGGTCGTAAACCCGTCCAGGGCCGGCCAATTTGCATATTTGGAATGCGCAGCTATAAACCCGGCTGGGGTTTTGCAGCGATTTCTTAGATGTAAAAATGAGATCTCAATAGCAGCGGGCTGGGCACATCCTCTCCTTCTCGCTCCCGATCTCTCTGCCGGGAGCCTGTTTCCCTCTCTCGGCTGCGGGCTGGAGCTCCGACCGGACCTAGACGCGCAGCCGCCACGAGATGGCGCACTTCCGATCAATGTCAAAGCCGCCGGGGAGCCGGGAACCCCAGCGTGATTCTTGGCCTTTGTTCGCTTCTGATACCAAGAGCAGCACGGTACATTATTTCACTTGTCCCGCTCCCCTTCGTGTCAGAAAAGAGGGCTCCCGCTCAAGAAGTGGTCGGTGTTGTAATTTAAAGCAACGCGCATTCTCTAGGCCTCGCAAGCGTCGCAGCGTGGTGAAGCCAGCTGCCCCCTTGGCCGTGATTTCGGAAATGTGTCAAGGTAAGAGGCCACAAGTTTAGCAATTTCAGTCTGGTGAGGCGGGAGTGGGGAGGTGGCGGACGTCTAAGCAGGGCTTGGAGACATGGCTGGGTTTGTGGGGTGACACGGTAGACGTTTGTCTCCCACCCCCCTTCTCCCATGTCTCCCTAAGGTTGGAGAGCAGAGGAAGGCCTAAATGGAAAAAGTTGAGGTTTTTAGCTCCCTGTGCCATCATCTCATCCCAGGCGATCTTTCGATTTTGTAAAAATATTCAGAATAGAATGAACTGGGGGTGGGAGGCATCCAGGCGAAAGGGTTCCAGCTGTGCTGAGATAGGGGGTTGTGGGAGGGAAAAAAAAAAAAAAAGGAGGTGGCAGGGCTGAGGAAAACAGAAAGTTTCTACTCTAAACAATGGGGTGGTCTAAGTCTGTTCGCCTCTTGGGCGGGTTTATTCCCAGGGGCAACGTCCTGGAGGCCACTGTTTTCCTACTAGGTGCATCTCTAGGTCTGCCCAGCAGCCTGGGGAAAACATTTGTTCTGGAAAAGACCAATTCGGAAAAGTCAAATTTGATTTTTTGAGGATGCCAGAGAAGTCTCTCTATTGTATATTTGGAATGTGCCGCTCTAAACCCGGCTGAAATTTTGCAGTGATTTCTAGATGTGAAAATTATATATTTTGCATGTTTTCCAAATATGCAAAAATGTATTGGTAAATACTTGTGCATTTTTAAAAAGCTGAAACCAAGGATAAATGCTGATTGAGCAATCACTCCATTAGGGTTGTCAGAAAACAAATTTTAAATGAAATGATTCACTTACATTTTGGAGCCCAGATTCAAAATCCCTTTTTCTTACATTTAATTTTTTCCAATATTTTTTCATTAGTTTCTGATATAGTTTTCTTTTCCACCATATACAGTGCATGGGTGAGTAGGAGGATTCGCAGAGAAAGTAGGTGCTGCCCGTATGTGTCTAAATTTTGCCTATCAAAATGTCTAGTCTTTGCTGAGCATGGGCTCCCACACGATGCCAGAACAAGGCAACCACGGGAAGGAATGAGCATTCACCGGCTCTCTGCGATGGGAACCCTCCCTACAATCCCAGAGCTGCCTCCAGTTTCAAGGCCAGAGGTGGTTAATTATGGACAAAACTAAGAATATTTAGTTCAAAGGGTGTATGAAAAGGCCCCAATACTCCCTGTACGGGGAAGGGCCAGCTCAATGGATGGATTTAGAAAAATGTAAAAAGCGTGTTGTTTAGAGATAGATTGCACCTGATCTATTCAAAGCAGGCTTATTAAATATCCCTGGAAATGTTGACATTCTTAAAGATAAATGGGAAAAGAATGTCATTGCCTGTGGAAAAATTCTCTATGTGTAAACGCCAGAGTCAGGGAAGCCCTGATTTTTTGTTAAAGCCGGATATGTGGAAGCAGCATTTGTTTTTCCTCTGTGGGGCCGCAGTCCAACTCCACGGCCTGCCGGAAAACTCAGAGCCTCGGAAGCCATTGAGAGTGACCCCCAGATACAAATTGGTTACTGGCTATCTCGATCTCCGGACCTAGTAATGTTTTTTTAAAAGAACTTGTTTTTTGGAATCGTTTACTTCTCTTTGCTTGCAAGGGCCTACTCCGGAGGAGGAGTCTCTTATCTAGTGAACTGCAGCACAATCCTCGCCAAAGGGCTTATTCCTAGGGGCCTGGCATTTACTTTGGCTCTGGGGGGAGGAGGGTGGAGGTGGGGTGGGAGTGTTATCACCCAGGTAGAAATGGGCAATATTTACTTCTAAGTAAAACATAGGCTCTGGAGGGGGCTGCGTAACCGCTACACAAGGCCCGGTTGAGGCAAGCAGTCGCCGAGGGTTTTAGGTCAAAGGCATCCTGAGGGAGAGGGAGAAATTCAGCAGCTGGGCGGAATGGCGAAAGAAAAAGAAGGCAGATAAACAAGAGGGAAGAAAAGTGACCAGAAGTCGACCCATGCTGCAGTTGAATTGCTTTTCTTAATCTCTCAGGGGTGGGGAATCTCAGGAAAGCCGAGGTGATCAATAAGTGGAATATTTTATCGAGGAAGCTAACACCTCGACATTACTGTCTTGGAACCCCGGGAGCCTTGGGGCCGGCCTAGGAACCTGGGGGCTTGGAGACCAACTGAGAGGGCTGAAGAGGTGCACAGGGGCATTTAACTTGAGCTTCTGCCGCTTTGGTGTCCTCTCTTTGGAACCAGCGGCAGCAGGCCAGTCCATGGCTGGAATGCACCGGCAGGCTCTGTCTGCATCCCTGCTCAGCAAACCCTGAGCCCTGGAGGGAGTTGGACGGCGTTCCTGTGTGGAGAGGAGCTCTCACACACAGGCTTACACACTTTTTTTTTTAAAGCAAGAAAGAGTTCAAACCCAGCATCCCATTTGGTTTATTATAAAGGGGAAAAAGCCATGCTGGAGAAACACATCCGACTCTCCACAAAGGTCACTGAAGACCCAAGTACCAATGCCGTGCTCTGTGAGACCCATAGCAGGCTTTCCAACTCCCCCACTCCTCAGCTGGGGTAGTGCTTTTGTAACCTTGGTTGGCACATGCACACTCCTTGGATCCTATTCAGCCTAGAAGCCCTTTTGGCCACCCTACAGGGCACCGGCCAGAGGACCTGAGCTGCCTGCTGGAAGGCCCAAGTAGAAGGCTTTGAGGGGGTCTGTGAACTCCTTGAAAATGGTGGGTCAAATCATGGGAATGAACAGATATGCAATTTTCACCGGATGAGTCAGAACTTGATTCAGATTTTCCAGAAGGGTCCTGACTCCCTAAAAGGTTAAGAAAGACAGGTTTAGAGCATTGTCTTTCACTTTAATTTTGTAGCCTCTGCCATCTCAAACATATTCTCCAGTGGCCACTGGACCTTCCCAAACTTGACCTGGGAAGCTGTTTTCTGCAACTTTAGCGAGGAGAGGGATGACTTTAGGCCCAAATCTTGGCCCACTGACCTGCTAGGGCTCACTCTCCTCAAGGAACTCCCGACGCGCTTAGGACCTGCTTCCCACATGACACAGCTTTCCTGAGAGGCATGGGCAGTGCTGAAGAGCAAAGCCTCATTCCCAGGTAGTTCCCAGCTTTGCGGCATTTCCAGGTGGTACCGCTGAGCGCAGCAGTCCCAGCCAGTTGCACCCGTGTGGTGATCTGGGTAAGGATCGGGCAGATCCGGGAAGCTAACGATAGGGCCGTGGGCTGTGGTGCTCGGTGCTTGGTCGCTTTTCTGCATTTATGTTCCACTCAGGCCTAGCTGGAAGAGAATCTGCCTTGGCCTTGGGCGCAGGGAGCAACGCGAAGACCAAAGGAGAGTTAATGATCTCTCGGCATAGACTCGACTCTTGATTCCTCTAAACCGTTGTTGCAGCTTCAGGACCCTGTCAGGCTGGAGAGAACCGGCTGTCTCATGCTCTCTCTCCCCTTCTCTTTCCCTCTCTCTTTTCTCTCTCTCTTTCTCTCTCTCTCTCTCTTTTCCTCTCTCCATCCTTCTCCTCTGTACTCTGATGCCCAGTCCGTAGAGAGGGTCCCCGCCGGACCCGGGGTCGAAGTGTCTGGTTGCCGCGCTGGCAGTGAGTGGCTCGGCATGGGGCGCGGTGCTGGAAGCAGCCGTGGCCCGCGGCGACAGTAGCTGCTTGAATCTGAGAAGCCAGAGCCGGGGCTCTACCTAGCCAGCTCTCCCATGCGCTCAGAGTCCTCTCAGGTTCCTCAGGCTGGGTTCATACTGGGAGGAGCAAGGCAAAGAACCCGGCAGATCACCCGGGATACAAGAGTCTTTCCCCGCCGAAGGCAGAGAGGCCTGAGCGGTCTATTTCCTGGGATCCTGGCGTTCGGCAATGCCAGCTCCAGCTGAAGCTGGAGAGGAGGGCAGGCCTAGGGTATCCTGCCCGCCAGGGGAAGGGCAACGACCTCAAGGCTCCACTGAATCTGGCCGGAAAATGTTGCATTTCCTGAGACTTCATGAGGCCCGCATTTGGGAACTAGCACCCAGGCTGACCATTTCCAGTTGACTAAGAGAGTGCCTCTGAATAGGGCCGGGTGTCTGCTGAGCAAAGGGCCTGGCTTCCAAATGTTCTTATAACAGGGCCACGAGCCCAACCCAGCCTCGCAGGGAACGGATTTCCTCACCCGGGGCCTCGTTAAAATGTGCACACTGCGGGAGCAAGGACTGCCCCAGCTGAGGGTATGGAAGGGAGGGGGAGGAGGGGAGGGGACAGAGAGGCAGGAGCTAGTGACACTGGTTCTTGTCATAACCTTCAGGAGGCATATGAATGCCAAGGCTAACAGGCGAGTGGGAGAATAACATGGCAGGAGTGTCCACTGGGTGCACGCACCCCTCCAGGTTTCCCTCTCTGGGAAGGCTGAGGACCCCAGGGCCAATGTTTTACTTCCCCTAAATGACGGGTGAGCTTGGAATCTCTTTAGGGTGAAGGGGGGACGCCTGGACCTGGCTCTGACCTCGGCAGTGGAAAGTGGGGCTCTTTCGACCAAGGCTGCCATTCTCTTCCCACCCCCACCCCCGCTTGTGCCAGCCTACCAAGGTCCAGCGGCCAAGAGTTGTAGAGAAGGCGAGCCAGGTGAGCACACCGTAGGAGAAGATCCCAAGTGGATCCTCAGATTGGGATAGGAACGTGTTGGGTGCTTAGGGACCGGGGAACAGCCGTTGCATGTTTGTGGAAAAATCTGTGGGATGGCGGAAGAAGAGGCAATAGCTCCCTTCCAGTTCACTCTGGGTTCCGGACACTCTGGGGTTCCTGGCGGCCTCAGGACTGGCCCGCCACTTTGGGGAGCCGGAATTTAGCGATGGGGCCAGCTCCAGGTCCAGACCCGAATGGGAAGCGCGTGAGTCCCCGACACGGCCCCTTGAGTGGTCAGAGCGCACCGGGGACGAGTGGCCGCTTCTGCATCAAGGACAGTGAGCACCCAAGGCGGGCTGGGGCGCGCACCATAAACACCCCACTTGTTAACTGCGCGGGGCCCAAGGGCGCTTCAAACAGACCCCCGTAAGGGGCTCACGTCCGGGTAGGGGCGGGGCGAGCCCAGCGGCCAGGCCCCCCAGCAGCCGCGCTGGGGCAGCCCCCACAGCTCCCGGCCTTGGGGCCGAGGTGTCGGGCGCGCGTCTCCTGGCCCATCAATACAGATTACATATTTATATCAATCGCGGGCTCCGAGGGCGCCCTCGGAGAGCGGCCCCGCGCCTACGAAACCAAACTGGGAGTGGTCGCGCGGAATCTCTGGCTCGGGATTGGCTGCGGGCGCCCGCCGCGGTGCGGGGGGATCGCTAATCGTATTCAGCATGTTTTGCACAAGAAATGTCAGCCAGAAAGGGCTATCTGCTCCCTTCGCCAAATTATCCCACAACAATGTCATGCTCGGAGAGCCCCGCCGCGAACTCTTTTTTGGTCGACGCCCTCATC